CCTTTCCAGATTATTGTTAATGCTGTGCCTGATTCTGCAGCAGCTGTTGCCTTTGAACAATACGATGCCTCTCCTCCCCCATGAGAAGTTGAAAAATGCCCCTTCTGCAATACTTTGAACCTTTGTAGAAGCAGGGAGCATAAAACGGACTGAGAGATGGACCTAGGAATCCTGTTTGAGAATTCTGTGTACAATTTAGACTTTTGAGCTTCGCCATTTCCTGACATTGACTTTCATAGCAACAGTTTAATTTGGAGAAAATCTGCTACCTCAAATAGCTAAAGGTATTTATGTGGAAAATTTTCCAAATGATTGACTTTACTGTGTTGCTATTTTCTTTCCCCATGAATATGTGAGTATTTGGATTTCTCCCAAGAGTTTTTCTGCATCACTTCTCTTTAGGCAAAGAAAAGTTTCTGTCCAGACTGGGAGAGGAGAGAGGCACCAAGAGTTTCCCCTTTCCAAGGGGATTATTATCTGAGTTTATACCACAGCATCTGTATAAATGAAGCTTTTGAGTATGTCACCTATTTGCTTAAATTTTCGTGGCAAGGGGCTCCTGGGTGGCTCAGTCGATTAAGCTCTAATTTTCAGCTCAGGTCACGATCTCATGGTTCATGGGATCGGAACCCAAGTGGACCTGTATGCTGACAGCATGAAGCTTGCTGGGGATCCTCTCTCTCCTTCTCTCTCTGCCTCTCCCCTACTCGTGCTGGGGCGCTCGCTCTCTCTCTCTCTCTCTCTCTCTCTCTCTCTCTCTCTCTCGCAAAATAAATATTTAAAAAATATTTTCAGTGGCAAATCCTCAAGGTGGCCAGAGTAACGTTGGTCATCACTTTGGAGCCAACACAAGTGTGATCAGCTGCGCGCTCCCTCCAGCGCCCTCAGTCTTGCTGAAGGGGTTGTCTGCTCCCTCACTCACCTCCTCAGCCCCACTAATCCTCCAGCCACGTCTCTACTGACTGCTCCTACCAAGATCACAGATGACTCCCTCTTATTTAATCTAGTGATCATTTGTGGGTTATATCAGATCTTTCTGTATCATTTGACATTGTTAATGCTGTTTTCCTTAGCTGCTTTGGCATCATTTCTCCTCATCCTCCTAGTTTTGTCTTCTGTCCTTTTCCTAAATGTTTCCTTGGCAGTCACTCCTAGACCTACTTTTCTTATTACTCTACACTCTTCCTGATTGATTCCATCTGCTCCATGGCCTCGATTCCACGCCGTTGATAAAGATCTCCCATTTACATCTTCAGCCCAGATCTGTGAAGCCTGGTCCCTGTCCAAAGGAACCTGATTCCTTCTCTTCCCTGTTTCTCTAAGTTCCCAGTTTTAGCGAGGGACGCCATTGCTCACTGTGCAAGAAGGAAACCTTAACTCCTTCCTCTATCTCTTCTGCTCTGCCATAACATTAACAAATCAAATTAATTCTATCTTCTACATAAACTTTAAATCCAAGTCTTCCCCTTCAGCATCTCCTCCAGGTCTATTTCCTACCAGTTCCCTAGGTTAGGAAACCATCAACTTGCCTGTGGATAACCCTCTCTGGTCTCGACTCCTTATTATCACGTACATATTACAGGAGAGGTTTTTCAGATCACCACATTTCCCTGATCAAAACCCTCATGCATGCGAAGCCCCAGTCTGGCCTCTCATGCCTCTCCAGCCTCACCTTGCATTGTCCACTTTTGGTCTTTCCGAGTATTTTTCAGTTCAAAAAATACTGTGCTTTCTCACCTTCATATGCTCTTTTTCTCTGCCTGGAACGTTCTTCCTATTCTTTCCCCCTCTGCTCCTTTTTCGGGTGTGAGATTCAGAGCACTTCCTCTTGGGTGCTCCCCTAAATGCCCCAAGTCTGCAAAAGTGCCCCTCCCAAGGCCTACATCCCACTGTGTCCTCAGAGCAAGGGCCACCCCTTAACAAAATTGCCTGGGTCTTTGTATCCCTGCTAGACTGTTAGCTCTGTGAGGACAGAAATGTGTCTCCTGTGTTGAAATTGTATCTCTAGTGCCTGGAACAGTGGTTGATACAGTGTAGGTGCTCAATAAACATAGGTTGAACGAGTGAGTGAGCCTCAGGGTAAACCATGAGCCGGGCTTCTTTAGGCACAAGTTCAAATGCCTTAGTCTGATTTGCAACTTCTTCCTCACAAGTCAAGCTCCCCTAACTGGTACAACTCTTACTTTTTCACAGCAGGCAAAACTTTGTTGCAGACAAAGCAACCTATATATCCCAAAGGAAGAGAAAGTTTTCAAAGGTTCTGAGAATTAGCATATGGTAATGATCAAATCCCAGGGTATCTTTTAATTGAACCTTCACAGTCGTTCACTTAGCTTGTACTCAGTACATAAATTGAGTAGAACCTTATTAGGGAGGTTGTGTCATGCCCTAGTGAAAATGGAGAGAATGAGAAATAGCTTTCCATGACATGGAGGCATTGGAGAAAGGGAGCAACCTGGTCTGTAGCTTGTTTAACGTGTGTCAGGCTACTGACTCCTGTATGGGAGATGAGGAGGAGGACAGCCACAGCCATCAAGGTTTAGGACTTTCCTCCTAAATCCCATTGTGGGTTTTGTACTCTGCAAGGATCAACTGCACATTCTGCTCTTTTCCTCTCCTACACTGCTGCCTTAATGTCAGCCTCAGGAGCAACCTGGTTTTGGAGATTTTTCCTCCCCAGGAGCAAATCTTCCTGAAGGAACCACATGACTACCAGGCTCACCCTGCCAATACTTCCCTGGGCTTCTTTCATTCACTCACTCTGTTCAGATGACACAGGTTCAAATGCCTTACTCAGTCTGTCCTAGCCACCCTGGACTCTTCCTTTCTTGGGACTGTAACCAGCGAGGCAAGCAAGATGCCCAGGGAGCAAAACTTAAAAGTTGCTCACTCTCAGATGCCAACCCTGTCTATGCATGTGCCTGAGTGGGAGTGCCTTTCTGAACTCACCCTTGGCCTGGCACTCTCTTCCAGGAAGGCCAGCCTCCTTTCCACCATCACGCCTCTCCAAATGCTAATAATCCCTGGGACCCAGCTCAAATGCTGCCTCCTCCATGAAGCTCCCAAGTCTTTTCCACAAGGTCCCCCAGCAGACCTTGTTTATACCTCTCTGAAGGAGCTCTATACCTTGATTAGTTCTTAGGCTTGTCTTTTTGTATCCATATTAAACTACAAACTTGGAAGGGCTGTCTTCTCCATGTGCTTCCAATACCTCGCACAGGTACAGCACACAGCAGGTATTCATGTCAGTGAGGTGAGTAGAGCAATCAAGGGAAGGAGAGAAGAGCATACGGGCTAATTGCACAGTAGGGGGAGGGCCGGGGTCAGCGTGGGATCTGGGGCCAGTCTGCCTGGGTTTGATCTCTGGCTCTGCCACTTGCTGGGTGTGAGAACATGAGCAAATCACATCACCAGTCTATACCTCTATTTCTTTATCTTTAAAATGGGATCAATATTGGTGCCCCAACATCAGGTTGTTGTGAAATCTAACTGAGCTAAAAGACATGAAGGTTTTAGCAACAGCCTCGATGCATAGTAAACACTTCAGTTAACATCAAGATCCAGAATTAAAAGGGTCTAGTGAAGGTACATCCGTGGAAAATGCAGGTATGCACACTAAGGGCAAAGCACATCTGTGACTGATGTCTTAAAGAAAGTTAAATCTAAGCCATCAATAATGGAAGACAGAGGCAATGGCCTCATACTCCCTTGAGAACCCAAATGTCTACTTTTTTAGAAAAGACAAATCTCCTCTCTATAATTCAAAAGAAGAATAGCTTGGGCAAGAAGATGGGAAGGGAGGCTGCCTAAAAAAAGGCAGCAGAGGGGGCGCCTGGGTGGCGCAGTCGGTTGAGCGTCCGACTTCAGCCAGGTCACGATCTCGCGGTCCGGGAGTTCGAGCCCCGCGTCGGGCTCTGGGCTGATGGCTCGGAGCCTGGAGCCTGTTTCCGATTCTGTGTCTCCCTCTCTCTCTGCCCCTCCCCCGTTCATGCTCTGTCTCTCTCTGTCCCAAAAATAAATAAACGTTGAAAAAAAAATTAAAAAAAAAAAAGGCAGCAGAGGAGGGCTGAATGAGTTTGGAGGTATTAAAATGGGTATTGAAATGTGCTCTGTTTTAATATCTGCTGATTTTAAGGAGAATGAAAACATAATGCTAAGGGAAAGTCATGTTTTTGCTGCCATCTACAGTCAAAGTGTAATTTTTAAACCACACACACACCCAAAATGGGGGTTCTAGACAAAACAAGTGAAAATATAGATAAAATTTTAAGTTCTAGTATTGAGACAATTTGGGCATATTATTATAGCATTTTATTTACTCTTCTTTCTATGTATATTTAATCAGTAAGGTAGCCTTTTTAACATCTCAAATTGTGTTGAAACTCCTTGAAGAAACTGCTAGAAGAATCACTCAGGAGTGAGGCTGTCCTCTGGTGCGTTGATTAGCTATAGCTGTGGCAGCTGACAGACAGTTTGAGGGTCAATACAATGATTTCAAAGTAAGAAAGAGATGGATTGGATTTTTACCCTACTTTTTCCTGTCCTGTGATCTGCAGTTCTCTCGTTATTTTAGACATTTTTTTTTTTAATTTACATTTCTTTATTTTTGAGAGACAGAGCACAAGTGGGGGAGGCGCAGAGAGAGAAGGAGACACAGAATTCAGAGCAGGATCCAGGCTCCAAGCTGTCAGCACAGAGTCCGACGTAGGCTCAAACTCACAAACCGCGAGATCATGACCTGAGCTGAAGTCAGACATTTAACTGACTGAGCCACCCAGGCACCCCAGCAGTTCTCTGGTTATTAGAATTATTATAGATTGCATTTTACACCAATGCATTTTATTGTTTGGTTATGAGAAATCAACCAAAAGCAAGTAAAGCCAAAATATGACCGTGATGTCACCTCTGAGATGCCTTCTGCCCCTATCTATGTTCCTACCCATATAATTTACACAGTTACTATGATGCTTTCCCAACTTCCTTGTGCATTATTTTTAAAGGGTTAAATATAGACAAGAATTACTGGAAAAGCGTTTGCTGGAGAAAAAAGCAGTGGCCCTCCAAGAAGCTCATGAAGAAGGCGAGAGAGAGAGGCGACTAGAAGCCCTTAGGAAACAGGTGTTTTTAATTTGGAAATTTTCATGGGTGGTTTCTAAGTGTTCTTAATAACATTATTAGTAGGGCTTAGTTACAACATCTGTGATATGAAATGTAACTTTTCCAAATTGGGACACTGATCTTCATTGCTGGGAGCAATTAGATTTATGTTGAACAATTTCCAGTTTCTTAGTATATTAAAAGAACTTTATCAGCACTTTTCAAAAGGCTCTCCCAAGATTTAAATGCATCCGTATTACCTCTCGTTTATTAGCTGAATAGTACCCATTTACAGGACTGAAACTTTACATCTAGCAGGATTTTCTGCTCCTCAAAAAACCTGGTGGAGTTTGAGCAAGACCATCATCTTAGGGGTAGAAACTTCTGTTTGGAAATCCCCTGTGGTCAGCAAACATGTGAAAAACCATTTTTTAAAAATATATACTATTTTTCGTGAGAGAATTAAAGCCTCCCATTGCATTGCCTAGTAAAAGTAGGCAAAAGTTTTTCAATTTGAGAAGTGTGATAAAATAGTTTTACTTGGTAATTTTTCAGAGGTTTTGATCTGGAAGTGATTAGTTCAACTCCTAAGCTCCAAAGCCCACTGACACCCCTACACAACTGATGGGAAATGACTGTCTGATTTCCCTTCCATGTCAGTGGAGGCAACATGGAATCTTGGATAAGAACTTGGCCTCTGGTATCCTTCAAACCTGGGTGCAACCTGGTTCATGACTTACTGGCAGAGGAAACTTAGATCATTTACTTCCCTAAGCTTCATTTCCTCCTCTGAAAAATGGGAATAATGATAGTACCTGCTTCAGAGGTTTGTAGTAATGTGTGTTCACACTTTTAAAATATTAAATATAAAACCCTCTTCTAAATGCTCTTAGGTTTTAGCTCAATCTCTACAACAATCTCATGATGTATGTATTTATTTTCGTAGCAATATTTCTATTTTATAGAAGAGGAAACAGAAGAGCCACAGGTTCCCCGCAAGTTCACACAGCAAGCAACTGTCAGACTGGATTCAAACCGAGGAAGTCTAGTTAAACTAGTTAAATGGCATAGTTTACAGGAAGTGTAAATGCATACCGCTATTATGTCATCATCTTTGATAAAAATAGATTACAGAAATAAATTCAAAGAGGAATGTAAGACCTGGTCATGCTAGATTCAACAAAATTTAATCATTAGCAAATAATTATACACCATGGCCTTCTGGGGACAAAACTTAATGTCAGTATTACTATGTACGTTCTTGTTCAAATATATATTTGATAACTACAGAGTCCATATGATTAGAATTCTCTCCATCTGTGAACTCTTTGAAAGAGGAAATATTTTTGCCCGTTACCTGTAGCCGGTGTTTAGAACTATAGTTTAAGACATTTTGGCTAGGAAACCTATAATAATTAAAGCATATTCAACCCCCAGTTTTGTCATTACAGTTTCTAAATGGCATTAAAAATGCCATTCTCTTAATGCTAATTCTTGACTTTAGGAATTAACAGGCAGGTGTTACTAATGGTGCATATAATTTACAAAATTAGTGGCTTCTTTCATTAGGATACAGGTTTGAATGATTTCAATTATCATAAAGGACAAGGGCATTTAGGTTAAAATGACTCTACGGTTTTTCAGTAGAAGGGGAAACAATGGTTTACAATAGTCCCTGGAAATCTCATTGCTGAACACAATGGAGATTCACCCATCTTGCCCAATAATGCCAACATAACTCAACTTAATGCATGAATAATATACTTTAGAATGATCTTGATCATATTAAACTTTCTAGAAAGCTTTGTGGAGTTGTCACCATGACCATATATTGCTAGTAGTTAAAAATTAATGTTTTTTATCTTTGGTTACTTTTTAAGGTAGTTCAATATATAGATTTTCTTTATAAGATTTCCTATGACTTAGTACCAGAAAAATACATTTTTATCTAAATTTAATCATAACTGTGATAACTCAATCAGTAGCAAACCATATATATTATAGCCTTTTAAAATGTTTTGTTTTTAAACCATTAGCTCCTTTGGGGATCTCTATGACTGGCCTGGCTTAATATTTTGTCTGTCCTTCCTTCTTGGGTTTTATCTTTATTTTATTTTTTTTTCAACGTTTATTTATTTTTGGGACAGAGAGAGACAGAGCATGAACGGGGGAGGGGCAGAGAGAGAAGGAGACACAGAATCGGGAACAGGCTCCAGGCTCTGAGCCATCAGCCCAGAGCCTGACGCGGGGCTGGAACTCACGGATCGTGAGATCGTGACCTGGCTGAAGTCGGACGCTTAACCGACTACGCCACCCAGGCGCCCCTTGGGTTTTATCTTTAATAATATTTCCTACCTTTAATGGACATTGAACATTAGTAGTGCTCCCCAGAAGTAGTTAGCTTGTATCGTAATCCAAATAGCCATGCTTTTTCTTCTTTTAGGTTGCTATTGTTGCTCAATTTGATCCTGTTAGAATGATGTCAGACACAATGGCATCAAAAGCAAGAATGGGTATTGGAACTGAAGAAGAATTTATTCTTCAAAAGCCACTCTTTACATTGAATACATACAATGAATACCAGGTAATTGTGGGAATTAGCATGATTGATGCAAAAGCCATGATGATAAAAAGATTTATAGAAGTGTGTGTTTTGGGTTAAAAATTATTTTCAATATTTACATTTGAATACCATGTGGATTCACTTAATTTTTACTGCTAAATGATAGCACGCAATTACTGCATGATTCTTAGCCCTGTAAAATAGTTGATAGGTGACCATAGAACAGTTTGTCTGAACATATTATAAATCTGTCATTGAAAATTATTTTTAAAATTGACATTTCTGCATTAAAATATCTTTAAAATTTACAAAATTTTACTTTAACGTTGTGTTTAATGTTCTATTGTGTTTCTCTATCATTCAGAATTTGTTTAATGTTAAATTCATGATATAAATCCTACTAAGGCAACAACTGATGACACTGATACAAGAAAGCAGAGGGAAGCTTTCAGAAATTAAAATGAACTGAAGATAATACATCAGAGCTAATGATAAAAGAAAACATTTTCTGTGGAAAAGTATTAAGGTGTTATTTAACCATTTCTAGGAACTTCTGACTCCTTTTAGTCTGTTCCTGTAACTGAGAAGGGATTTTAAAAAGTACTTTCAGGGGTGCTTGGGTGGCTCAGTTGGTTAGGCGACCGACTTCGGCTCAGGTCATGATCTCACGGTTTGTGAGTTTGAGCCCCGCATTGGGCTCTGTGCTGACAGCTCAGATTCTGTGTCTTCAGATACTGTGTCTCCCCTCTCTCTACCCCTCCTCTGCTCACACTGTGTCTCTCAATAATAAATAAACGTTAAAAAAGTTAAAAAAAAGTCTTTTCAGATGGATGGAAGGCAGGGAGGGAGGACAGATGAATGAATGGATATCACTGATATTAAGGGAGAAAGTAGTTCTCCCTAGTTTGTTAATTTTGCAAGTCTAAGGAGAGAAGCTGGACACTTAGTTAATTATTTACAGAGTAGGAAACTTCATCCATTCACCCATTGACAGATCAAGTGTGCCTCTCCTATGTGCTGTATACTTCGCTAAGAAATAAAAAAGATGAACAGTTCATTTATCAATTGGACAATATTTACGGAACGTATTCTATATCTGGCACAGTGGAGTTGCCAGGGCTACATCCTGAACAAGACTGACTTACTCTGTTGAAGGAAGTGAGCAGGGCGTCTGGGTTAGGAGGGAAGGTAGCATGTGTGAAAATAACGCCCCTGGGGTGAGACTACTTCCATGGTGGAGGTCTAAGGCCTGTAGCGGCACGAAGGGAACCAAAAGAAATGCAGACTAGGGAAGTCGGACCAAGTATTGAAGAGGAAACTAAGCTACATCTTAGTCGAGGATTTTTGGCAGCAGTAACAACATTTTTTCCAGGTTGATTTAAATTAAAACCAAAAAACTCAGCTGGGAGGAGGGGTTGGGCGAAAGGAAAGGGATTAATTATAAGGATGCAAGTGTATCTCCAGAAGCCAAAGCAGGAAGGGCAGCTGGGGCTGGCAAAGAATTGAAGTCAAACTGGAAAGCTCTCAGGTACCTGGGCTGAGGAAATAAGGGTTTCACCAAGCAGAGGAGGGTGGAAAGAGGCCCTTACTGGCGTGTCTTCAGTGTAAAGGTACACGGCAAGGGTGGGTGCTAGGAGATGAGATTGGAAACATAGGTTAGGGTCAGACTGAAAAGTATAGTAGCTTTTGCTTGCTAAGATGTTATCCTGTGAGCACAGGTGAGACTTAGAAGCAGGTGAATTATATACTCAGATATGCTTAGCAACGTATCCTGGATGGAAAATTGGTGGGGGTGGGAGCGGGGGTCAGAGTCTTTTAAGATGGCAAAGTCCTCATAAATGTGGGAGGGTGTGGCATGAATGGCTCTGGCTGAGAGGAGGGAGTAATGAAAGTGAGGATGATTCTAAGCCGGGCAGCGAGTGGTACTGAGAAGAGCCTGCATTTTGGATTCAAATCTACATCTGCTATTTACTGGCTATGAACTTGTGTAAGCTATTAACATCTTTATGTCTTGTTTACTTCATCTGTAAAATAATAATTTGTAAGGTTCTTATGAGGATTAGGATAATAAATGTCAATTGCCTAGGATATTGCCTGGCATCTACAAGTAATTCAGTAAATTACAGTCATTATGTGTGGCTGCCATTAACCATATAAGAATACAGAAGTAAAAACAGACTTCGGGGAAGAGTATTTATTTTGTTCATGTCATGATTAGGGTGAAGATGTCTAGAACACGTTTACAAGAATCTGATTGGTTGCTTCTGGGGAGGTGATTTGGGGAAATGCAGGTCAACTTTCCAGGGAGATCTCCATTTCACTTGATACCTATTCTAAAAATAGGATAAGGCGATCTTTTAAACCTCACAGACCCAAAGCTGAGAAGACAGGTGAATCCAGAAAAAATTAGGGAGTACACAGGCAGAGCATGAATCCTTGGAAGTGGATAAGGGTGACTACAGAGATTGTATCTAGAAGAGGAGAGACTAATGCTCAAAATATATTGCTTCTCAGACACAAATCTCTGTATTATTTTCGACTTGTGTGCAATCATTGCTCCTCGTCCCTGTACCTCACCAGTTGCCAAATTCTCTTGATTCTTCCCTTCATAGTGTTTCCAAAAGTTCTCTCTTCCTTGCTACCAGCCAAGTTTAGTTATTTATTACTTCATGTTTAGACAATTGTAGTAGACTTCTGCTACTCCAGTGTTCTACCCAAACTGCCCTGATCCTGAATTGACCTATTTCACCTCTGAGTTTGCATGTGCCTTCCTGTTTTGGCTGTCTCTTTTCTTCCCCTTTTTGGCTGTCTTCTTTTGCTTCATAGAAGAATAGGGTGGACTTTACAGTTAGCTCACGTGCTCCTCCTCACCTGAGGTCATCCTAGTCTAACCCGCACCAGGAGATGTACTTCTGTGATCTTCTATCCTTGGAACATCAGTCACATGTGCCACCAGCTGTAGTTATCTGTATACCTTCTTACTGCCCCTATTGGTTTAAGAGCTTCTTGAAGGAGGGCTGCTTTCAACAGCTTGCTATCCCATCCTCTAGGGGGACTTGAAGTCCGTGTAAAATGCCTCATTAGCTAAAATCCATATGTGGTTACCTTATTGCAAGCAGCGTCTGTTGACATTTAATATTCATGGAAGGAGGGGAAGAGGAATAAGGTCCAATCAGCTATAAATGAAAATAGAAATTGAGCTACTCATATTTCCATTGCCACTTAGAACCACATTGGTGGAGACATTTTCTAATTCTGCTTGAAATAGAAATCAGCCTTGGAGAGTTCGATTGATTTTGTTTTTTAAGTAGAGGCCATGTGTTTAAACATAATTTACATATTTCAGAATGATGGAGAAATTAGAATGTCTGGTTAAAGACGAATGTACCAAGAGTGTGGTTTAGATTTATTTTAATCAATGATTGTCTATATTTTGTAATTCTAGCTATGAATAAATAATGAATCAATGATAGTACTGAAAGTAAGCTTTTTTTTACTCCATCTTTTTAATAATATCAATATGTTGTATTTTGACTAATCTAGTATAATATTCTCTGTATCTTATCTCGGAAGCCACGGATGTACTGGAAAATGATAATGTCAAGAACATTTGGACATTTTCAGTAAAAACAAAACAAAAAAAAAAACCCCAACCCTCTCCCCCTTAAAAACAGCAACAGAATATAGTCACTATATACACAAAGTTTATTGTCATCTAGTCATCTACCCAGAAGAAACAAATTATATAGCTTGAGCAAGTATAGAACTAAATGATAAATTTTACTTTAGTTCAACGAATTGCTACTTATTTAAATTGTATTTTATTTCTACAGATAATTTCTTTTTTCTTTCTACAGATAATTTCTGACCCTAGACTCCGTTTTGAGTTAGCAGTTCGAGAAGCTGGACTTCATAAAACATTTTATGCCAGAGAGATATTACCAAAAATCAGTCCTCAAAAACCTCCAAGAAAGGACATGGAGTCTACTGTATTTAAAATCTAGAGTTCTTCTGTAAATCCTATTATATGTAAACAAGATTTTTCTTTGAATACATTTATATAGATAACAATTACTACTTTCCAAAAAATTTTAAAATATCAGACATAGAAATCAAAGCATTCATTAACACAACTTTGTCTTTTATGACTCTTAGAATTTCATGCACTATTTCCTATATCTTTGTTATGTCTGATAGTACTGAATTCAGCAAGACTATGGAACATAATTATAATGCATATGATACATATATTATTGTTCAGTAAGCTGCATATTGGAGATTGCATTATCCCATGAAAAGACCTTAAAACAACCATTTTCAGGAATTACAATTTATGTTGCTACTACCTGCTAAGGTTCATTTCTGCTTGTTATTTCAGAATTTGACTTTTTAATTATGGAAGCTCCATTATCATTAATACTTCTATTTCTTGATTATTACAAGAGGAGACTCAACCTTTTTCTAAATTTAGAAACCAATTTGGTGTACCATGTTTACTGCAAACCAATCATCCAAACAATTTCATTTTGCAAATTAGCCTTTAAAAATAAATTAGAAATTAGGAACAGCACTTCAAGCATGGGAATATCTGTTTGGGCTTAGAAAAAAATGTATTTGGTTGTTTAGAAAGAATATTTTACAATTTATAATATTTCAAATGTTATCAAAAATTCCAAATTATTTAATATCTAGATGGTTTTATACATAAAGAGCATTTCAAATAAATATCAACCATATATGTCTACTTTAAAAACTTGGTTAATCAGAATCACAAGTCAGTGTTGTTGGAAGTTGCCATTATTACTGTTAAGACTACCTCCCCCACCTTCTTTTTCTTTCTATTGCAACTTCCTGCCATTTCCTCCCTACTTCTAGCCCAGAATTGCTGTTATTGGAGTAATGCAAAAAAAAAGACCAGTCTGACTGGTGGAATATTAGGTTTCATGATTATTCCCAACATGCTGGGAATAAATAATGCAGCAAGCCCAGCTCATCAGAATAAACCTTCACAAGAGATTCTGTGGACAAAATCTGTATCTACAATTCATTATAATGCCCTCTCCATTCAACCTTTTGCATCATCACATCTCCTAATTGGAAGAGGAGAAGGAATCATGAACAAGACTCAGGGCAGTGGGCAGTAGCAACATTCTTGAGGATGTCTCCCACCATCACAATGTTCCTTTAAGGGTCCTCGCTTTACTTGATGTGAAGCCCCAGACCATAAACCATGAAAGCCCTGCTTTATCAGAGCACATCCTCTCTATGTTGCAAGACATATTGTAGTCCTGTTTCTCTAATGTCTCTCCTTCCTTATCTGTGTGGATGTTATTCTTCTTAATCTGTTTTTACGTTAACTTTAAGATCTGATTCTTTTTGCTCATTTATACTCAAAATTTGTCTTCCTCAACTTTTAGAAATAGTTGTGACTCAAGATAACCCTTCTAACTTCATAGCTCTACAGTTCTCTCTTTTGTTATATTTGTGTATGTTCAAAAAATTTGCAGCTTACTTTCTGGAGATATTTCCTCCCCTAGTTTTATCTGGACCTGTTATTTCCTTTGACTTTGCTGTTCCTGTGGTGCTCAATTTGGATTTTCCGTGCAACATTGTCTCATCATGGGACTTTGTCCTAGAAGTGAGTTTTGACTACCTGGTCTGGGATTTCATGGGGCCCAGATTTCTGTGGCCCCTTCAGAGTTCACTGCAAACACTTTGTACTCATTCATTATCAGAGTGTAAAACCCCCTCTTAATTTTATCAGAAGCTTCCAGTGAGTACTTCTTGGCTCTTTAGAGATCTCAAGTCCATCTGATGTCCCTTGCTTCCCTCTGTCCTGCAAAGGTGTTGGTACAATCAATTCTTATAGCTGTCAGTGGTTGCTCTTTATCCATTCATAATTTGTAGTTTATGGGAGAACCTTGTCACTGTCACTGTCGAAGATTATCTCCATTGGTGTTTGGCTTTATTCTGCTTTTTGTTTCTTTTTATAGGCTGCTCTGAGGAGATTAAAAAATCACCCCACTTCTGCTGTCATCTTCCCAGAATCCTTCCAAACCGAATTATTGATCCTAATGGCCTTTCATGCACTAAATATGCCCACTGCATCTCCGTAATGATGCCACCATCCACCACATATACAAATCTGAAATCTGAGAGTCACTCATACTGCCCTCCTCTCCCTCATTTGAAGTATCTAATCTATCAAAACCTACTGACTTTCTGGCTTCTATACTGCAACCATACATCCAATGGAAGATATTTGCCGTGTTCTGTGACTTTCTAGCCACACCATTTTCACATTCGGGGATTATTCCACATTATCTACCCCTCTTCCAGAGGAGAAGCTAGCCCCTCAGTTTTCCTGGTTCTCATGATATATTCTATGGCAATCAAATGAACCTATTTGAGATTTCCCTCATAAGAGAGCTATGTGAGAAGGTAAGAATCCATTTTCTGGCAAGGCTGGCAGTAGAGGCTTTCAGCTTTGGGGGGTCATAGTTGCAGAGCTATTAGTATCTAGCACTCAGGGGAGGTGATGCTAATAGAGGTGTGTGGGACTACCAGAGCAGCCGTGGGTCTCTGTGAAGCTGTTGCCTAACGAGTATTTGGCTAACCTCAAACACACACTCTCTGGTCTCCCAGAAATACCTAACACTCTTTAACAAATTTTCTGTTTATACTAGCTTAAATGGGTTTGCTACTGTGGATGCAGAGATACACTGATCTTTTTGCAGTTCCTGTTATGCACCAACCACAGTCTCATGCTCTCCAGTGATAATCCCTCTGTCTCTGTAATCTGTTCTCTCAATTACCATTTCCCTTCTCTTCAGAAAGTAGGAAGAAGAGAACATTTCAGGCTTTTTTTTTTTTTTTAATGTCACCTTAATTGCTGAGTACTGTTTTTCACAGCAATGATTTTCACTCTAAGGAGAGGCCTACTAAAAATTACTTTCAGGCACCTGGGTGGCTCAGTTGGTAAAGCATCTGACTCTTGATTTCGGCTTAGGTCATGATCTCAGAGTTGTGAGATTGAGCCCCATGTTGGACTCTGGGGTGAGTGTGGAGTCTGCTTATGATTCTCTCTCTCTCTCTCTCTCTCTCTCTCTCTCTCTCTCTTTCTCTTTCTGTCTCCTTCTCTCTCTCTCTTCCTCCCTCCTCTTGTCTCTCTCCCTGCTTGTTCTCTGTCTCTCTCAAAAAAATTACTTTCTCTCTCCCCCCAAAATTCATTCTATCTTCCCATATCCAAAGTCCCATATAGTATTTTTTTTAATTTACATCCAAGTTAGTTAGCATATAGGGCAACAATGATTTCAGGAGTAGATTCCTTAATGCCTCTTACCCATTCAGCCCATCCCCCCTTTCACGACCCCTCCAGTAACCCTCTGTTTGTTCTCCATATTTAAAAGTCTCTTATGTTTTGTCCCCCTCCCTGTTTTTATATTATTTTTGCTTCCCTTCCCTTGTGTTCATCTGTTCTGTGTCTTAAAGTTGGCATATGAGTGAAGTCATATGATATTTGTCTTTCTCTTACTGTCTAATTTAGCTTAGCATAATATCCTCCAGTTCCATCCACATAGTTGCAAATGACAAGATTTCATTCTTTTTGATTGCCAAGTAATACTCCATTGTATATATATACCAAATCTTCTTTATCCATTCATCCATCAATGGACATTCAGGCTCTTTCCATACTTTGGCTGTTGTTGATAGTGCTGCTATAAACATTGGGGTGCATGTGTCCCTTCAAAACAGCACATATCCCTTGGATAAATACCTAGTAGTGCAATTTCTGGGTCGCAGGGTAGTTCCATCCATACAGTATTTTTAAATGGGACACTTGGGTGGCTCAGTTGGTTAAGCATCCGACTCTTGATATCAGCTCAGGTCATGATCACGGTTCATGATCTCAAGCCCATTTTGGGCTTCATGGTAACAGCTCGAATCCTGCTTAGGATTCTCTTTTCCTCTCTCACTGCCTACCTCTCTGAAAATAAATAAACATTAAAAAAAAAAGCATGAAGAAGCTGGAGCTTCCTCTACCTGGTATATATTTGGTTATTTTCTATGGAGCCCACATTTTCTTGGGTTTTATTTTGCCATCATTAAAGCAGCTCCATCATCTCCTTAGCTGTGCTAGATTTTAATTCTAGGACACAGGTAAAGTATGAAGTCATTTTGAAGGTAAAAGACATTTAAAAAAGTATTTTTTAACATGTATTCATTTCTGAGAGAGACAGAGTGTGCATGCAGAAAGAGAGGGAGACACAGAATCCAAAACAGGCTCCAGGCTCTGAACTGTCAACACAGAGCCCAATGTGGGGCTCGAACCCATGAACCATGAGATCATGACCTGAGCCGAAGTCAGATTATTAACCGACTGAGCCACCCAGGAACCTCAAAAGGAAAAGACAGTTTTAAAGAAACTTGGATAAATTAGAGACTTTTTAAGATCAAGACTCTGTTTGCCTGGAGAACTTATGAGGAGAATCTAAGATACAGAATTTTAAAGATCTCCATCAAATCCCAGGAATGATGGAGTTTGACCTAAGGTGGAAAAAAGATCTGAGATTTCTACTGTTTTTGACATCTGATCGATTTGTTTTGGAAAAATGGTATATGCTTGATGATGCATTTGAAGATGAACACTTGCTAGATTACTGCTGAGTACCAGAGAGGTCCTGAGGGGGAGAGTTTCCAGGAACTTAGACATTAAGCATTTAGGAACAGTGAATATTGCACTTTGAGACTCAGTGTGGGACTTGATTATAATAATAGAATCCATGAGCTGCATGACCTCATGGAATCAAGTCTCAATCCCTAGAGAGGAATGTGGTATTGAATATGTTCTGTTCTTGTCATGTTTTTAAAATCTCCAGAAAGATGTTTTCCAACCTCTACAGCAATTCCTCTTTTTACACTAGCAAGTGCCTATGTCTTTTGCTTGCCCACCTCAACAGCAGTTGGGTCTAAATTTTTCAATGCTTTGCCTGATTCAGGTTTG